GGATCTGGAAGCGGACCCGCGCACAGTTGAAAGAGAAAAGACAGGCTCTCCCCTTCCCTGATATTGGAGAACTCAAGAATCAGAGTGTGGGGCTTGGAGCAGCTAGCCCAGCCTCTCATTGTAGAGCTGGGGAAGCTGGGTGCCAGGGAGGGAACGGACTTGTCAGGGTCACACAGCACTCAATTGCAGGGACCCCTGGGATGTGGTCTCAACTTTGCCATTGCCTGTCTGTGCCCCTTTGGGCTTCTGGGCCTCCTTGTCCCTGAACTTCTTGTGGCTCGTGAGCTGTGTGTATCTGCTCCCAGGACCTCAGGGTTCATGGGAGTCACCACATCTATATTAGGTCTAAGGGATGTCATCTGTGTGGGGTGTCTGCTCGGATACCTCAAAGGACAAGGACAAGGGAGGTGACGCTTCCTCACCGCAGTCTCTACACACCCTCCACCTCCCAGTGATCTTCTTGGCTCCTGAAAGCTGTTCCCAGCTGCACCCAGTGTGGCTGGTGACGGAGGGCGGGGCAGGGAGAAAGCAGGAAAGTTCCCAGCTCATCCTCCGAAGGTTTGCACAACTGAGGCAAGGGAGGGTCTGAGGCCAGGGAAGGCTGGAGCTACGGCCTCAGCTCTGGCTCAGTTACCCAAAACGCCTGGAACCCTGGGCTACTCGTTTGTGGTGCACTCATTTGCATATCGTATTATGCAGGTACATCTGCACCTGAATCTTTTCTCTTAGGGGCTTGTGGGTGAGCTACCTTGTGGGAAGTAGTTCAGGGCACCCAGGAAGTTCCTGAGACAGGAGTGGAAATGTGGGGGCGAGCGTAGGTAGGCCTGGTTCAGGCCGCTCTGAGCCACTGTTTTCTCTACCAAGTGTTTTCACCAGCTTAGCCTCACAGCCTGTTTTCCCACCCGGGAAATTTCTAAATAACCCATCTCCTAACCACCTCGGAAGATTCTTGTGGCGATCAAATGAGATAGGGCATGTGAAATGACACTGAGAACTAAAAAGTTCTCTGTGGATGGCAGGTCATGGTATTCCTGGGAAGAAGAGTGATGAGAAAGAGAAATGAAGTTAGAAGGGCGTGTTAGAGCTGGCAAGACCTACAAGAAAGGGGCTGGCAGGGTCCTTGCGCCAGGGACGCCCTTTTCAGCTGTTTGCTGGGGGTGTAGGGGCTAAATCTGGTGTATGTGTGTTCCCCCACGTCCTGCGTGGTTTAGGGTTCAGGATCTGGAAGAGGAGCCGCACACAAATGAAAGAGAAGAGATAAGAGATAATTTGGAAATATTGGGGGGCCAGGCGGGCAAGTCCAACTCAAGGGGAAGGGCCTCCACTGGTGCCCAGGCTTCGCCAACCTTTTATTCAGCTTTGGTTAAACCTAAAACCCTTAGGCAGGCAGGTAATTGCAGTTATAGACAGGCTATCATAAAGGTCAGTAAATATTAGAAGGATTTACTCTGAGACTACTTGGTTAGGAAGTAGCTTGAGCCCCGATGGTCAGGACTAGACAATCGTGCATGACTCAGGCCCTGCCGTGGGTTCAAGGATCACCAGCCTTCCGGGATCCTTGTTTGCACTTCTCTGCTAGTGAAGACAGTGGGCGGCCTCCTGCATAAATCCATCCATTTCAGCCCCTGATGAATCTGAGGGGAGCAGACTCAAGGGGACCCACACCTGGGCGCCCACACACCATGTACTGGGTGGATGGTTTATCTCTTTTTTTAAATCTCTCATCTCTACCTACTCTGGGGCAGATTACCAACATCTCTGAGTGTGCCTTGGGAATTCATATAGAAAAAAATTCTAAAAGAATAAATTACGACCAAATTGCTGAAGGCTCATGAAGACAGAGAGGCCGACAGAACAAAGGAGGCGGGGATGTTCCTTGGCTGCACCCGCCTGTCCCCTGCCTGGAGGACTGCTCTCTGTTCTGAGCAGCAGCCAGGGGGTGAAGACAGTGCATGGAGAAGGGCCGTGCTGTTTACCCTCAGGAGGTCTTGACCTGTTTACAGAATCAGCCTCGATCTGATGGCCCAGGGAGCCCCTGGGAGGCTGATGATGGCTGCGCAATCTGAAGGTCCTGGCCGTCAGAGCTGTCCAAAGATGGCAATGTTTGTCTGACAAGCAGTGAGCTCCCCTCACTGGGGGCATGCAAGCCCATGATGAGTGACCACATGTGGGGATGGCAGAGAGAAGATTCAAGTCAAAGAAGGAGCTAAGGTCTCACCCTGAAATTCCGACTAGAGAGAGGGAAGACATGGCCAATGAGAGGTTGGCTTCCCCTGA